CCCCCCGCACTCCCGTGGGACGCTCCATCCGCCCCATCATCTCAGCGTTCATGAGCCCCCTGGTACCTTGAAGTATGTAGAAAAAACATATAAAGCTGTGTCTATGGCCAAATTGTCAAATCTCTCCAAATCGATTCTAAGTGTTAAGACTCGATTCAGAGATATTAAAGAGTCTCCTGATTTGATTCAGATTTGGAGATTCAGCCACCAAATCAAGCCGAATCGAATCAGTGACCAAAGCTTCACACAGCCCTACTAGATATCTTCCAACCCTAAGATACTTTGATTCACCCCTAGGATACATATGGGGAGCAACAAGCAACAGCTAACCAGAATCTTTCATTAATGGGCTGTTATCTTTCATTAAAAAGAAAAAACTGAGCCAAAAGTATCCTTGATGGATTTAGACAAATTTCCTAATGAGCCTCAAAACTGGTTTAAAGGGTGGGAACTACAAGTATTTGATTAAAAAAGTATAATGATGGAGGGAGAGGGGGCTGTATTTACCATGACAAGTCAAAGAGAACTAGATTAAAAACCACCATGTGAACACACAGAAGGAAGTCTGTCTTTCAACAGAATAAGAGTTTCTTCTTGTAACTTAAGTCCTTCCACATATTGCGTCATTGCTGGTCTGTGAGCAACTTCTGCAGCTCCTACCATTGGGACTAGTTGTCCTAGTCTCTCTGCCTAGTCAACTCTTTGTCTATTTTTAAACCTAACCAAAAAGGTATCTTTTCTTCCCACCTTCAGATAGAAGGACCACAAAATAATCTTTAATGTTATTTAATTTGTAACATGCTTTACAGATATATGTATGAAAACTGGTAGAAAAACAAGACTGTGTTTTATACTGCTTTGTCATTAATAATGAACTGAAACAGCTTTCTTAAGTTCAGATAATGTGGCATGCTGAGTATCCACAACCCACTATGAACACAAAAGATGTGGACTCAGAATTCTAACAGCAACTTAGATTGCTGTTAGAAGATGCAGGCCCAAAAAACTGAACTGTAACCCAAAAGGCTAGACTGTCAGTAGTTCATCATTACTATGAACTGTATACCTCTTTGCTACTCTTACAAATGTATTTTGAAACACAGGGGTATAAGACCTTTCTAGTACCTTTTTATTTACAGCAGTCAAACAGCATTTCCTAAGATGTGCTGTCCTGCTCCAAATCTCAGACTGTCTAACAAACTTGAAGGGATCTCTGGAGGATATAAAATAATAACAAATGTAATGTAATGAAGTCTTATTACTACAGGAATCAATAGGTTTTCACAGCTATGCCAATCCACTTATTAAAATGTTCTTCGAAGTGACAGAGATGCACAGGATTGTAATCAAATTTCTCTAAACTTTAGAAAATCACAACAAAACATTCTCATGAAGCTCAGTCTCCTACTAGGGACCTCATAGGTTTGTCCTCAGACCTTAGTGAGCTTTTTCCTTAAGCCTGATGTACTAGTTGCATACAACTGTACCAGTTGTTACACTGAAACCCATCAAAAGTGACAATTAGTCTTAATTTTATTTTATAAATTTCTCCCCCAATATTATCAAGGTTGCAAAGAGTGGGAGGGGGGAGGGGCAATATGAATATTATAACACTGATTTTTATCATCTTACAGGTAACTGCTGTCATTCTAATGCCAATTCCACACCAGTACTAAACTCTTAATAAATAAGCCTCAAGTCCATTAAGACTTATTTTATTATACATATGTTAAATCAGAACTAAGGAAGAATACCTATGCTATGAAACTGTTGTTTTTAAACTATGCTTTTTGTCTCATGCCCAATCCATTCCCCATTTTGGAAATGGCAAACAGGTTTCTCCCACTGACACCTATGAAACTCTAATCCAACAGTGACAGACAGACAACGTACAATATTGGAACAATCAAGTATAAGGCTTTTTTAATGTGCTTATTCATCTCTTCAATCTTTTTAACATACAAAACAGATGAAGTCTTGCCAATGGTGATATTATAAGAAGATGCCATTCACAGTAAGGAAAACAAACTGTTCAGCAAAGCCTAGAGACAGAGACAAGTAAAATTTGTGAAACAATGTTGCACAAGCTTTGGTGCTTTGATTCTTTTCCATTGCAATCTTATGGTCTAATCTAGTTCTTCTGAAATAAATGAGAGTCATTCTATGGGAATGGTTTTAAATGAGAATTTGGTTGGGTCCATGTAGAGTAAGATCAGAGTGAGGAGTATACCATGCACTATATCTTATACTTTTTTTTAAAAGACTGCAGAGCATGTAATGCAAACCTTAAAAAAATTCTAAAGTATCAAATTCTGTGTGTGAAAATATGTTCAAACATACAGAAAATAATTACCCATAGAAACTGTAACATGATGATAATGATGTTAACCTTTTTAAATATGAATGTCAGAAAACAAGCTGAATTGTTGGCATTTGTGTGAAAATATGTGGAAATCATCATCTATATGTAGATAAGTCACTGCTTCAGCCCCATTCAATATGGCTAAGTACAGACCGTCAAAAACGCAGAGGTTAACTCGATTCAGCCTTTACAGGTTAGTCTAAGCTATGTAGACTGAACCAAGAAGCAAGTGAACAGACATTCACTTTTGATTCCAAAAATGCAGCCACATGCCTGCAGTGGCCCAGGCCAGAAACCAGGGGGTGCTAGAGAATGCCTCCCTGATTGGCTGCAGCAGACAGCTTAGGCCAAAGCTAGCCCACTTGCCCTGCAAGGGGGGGAAGGGGTGGAGGAGCAGGGGGGGTTCAGGGAAGGTGCAAAGCATCCTGGGATGCTTGGGGACTGTGAATTATCTTGAATCTGGAGGGGATCTGAGACAGAAGTTCAGCAAACTGATGTAACCTAAATCAGTTAAGTTTGATACTACATCCATCCCGGTTTATCTTCTAGTGGTTTTGACCATTTTGAAAGCAGTTAAAGTGCACTGAACTTCTGTTGTGTTACAGATTTGAACTGGTTTCCGATCACTTATGCAGTTTGTGTGTAACTTTTTTGCCTACCCTATAAAAATATCTTTATGTTTGCATGGGAGCTACTTATTTAAATGTCAATTCATGTGAATGGAAGAAGGATCCATTAGTAATAACTGCTTTTCAGATTCAGGCTTCACCTCCATAAAGTTCACTGGAAAAAAGACTTGTTTAAGCAGTAATACAAAATACTCACCCGTTTGCCACCAGTGATCCAAGACTGGAACCTTGAAGACTTTTTTTGACCATTCTAAAGTCTCCACATCACAGTGCTCACCAGCTACAAATAATGTTCTCAACCTAAACAAAAGTAGAGGTGCATGTGTTAATTCATGACAAGGAAAAGAAAAGCAGCAATGGAACTATTTCTCTATAAACTTAAAAAACATGTGTTGTGTGCTCAAGATGTTGAGGGTGAGAATATCTTTACGTCTCCTGAAGTATCATCTTACTGAATTGTGATTAAAGTCCCAGGGAGATTAATTTATTGTACTATTTAATATATCACAGAAAAGAAGCTTCATTTTTAAAAATGTGAAAGCTTACATATACAAGAACCAGCACAATAGTATATCGAAGGAAATAATACTTTAATGTAAAATCTGTTACTTTTAAAATATGTACAGTACAAAAGCTGGGTACATTATCAATAGACACAATAAATAAGGACGGGAAAAAGGGGCAGAAAAAAGTACCAGAACTAATAATAAGAGAAAAACCATTACACAGAAATTAACCTGTTTTATGGATACCTGTGCCCTCGTTATAGTGTTCCATTATAAGACTGATTTTTAATAATTTTCTAACTTTAAGTCACCTTTCTCCGTGGCACTTGAAAACAGGATTTATAAATGACTACTGAAGCTAAATCCATTCCAACACAACAAGTATTTATGAATAATCTTTAAGCAGATCTTCTAAGTTCTATATGTATGCAAAAAAATGCAATTAAATTTTGTAACATGAGTGTGCTACAAATCTGCCTAAGGCAACTTACCAATATCCATACAATAATATAACATATACAAAATATAACATATTGTATTAGGTACCTGACTTGCAACCAGTATATGCCCATTGACCACTTAGTTTCTGTTATATGTGCTTGATACTATAGCACGTGTTCGATTCAGTTTTTGATGGTTCTTATGCAGCAAGATTCCACAGAAGTAAACACACCTTTTGACATCAATGACAGATGCTATTTGTATTTTTTAACTGATTAAATTAGACAGTGCTATATAACTGGGTATTAAACCGACAGAGTCTTTAACATCATCATGCTTTACCATATGCTTTGTCACAATTTATCATCCCTCATTAGGCATTACAAATGCATCTCATTCCCCTTTCTGTGTGGTAAGGTCATGAAGATAAACTGAAAAGGAGGCTTTTTTTTATTTTTGTTTTTTTCTTTTAAGCACATACAGTTCAAAATATTATTTAGGATCCAAAATATAGAACCAAGGTAATTAGTGCAAACTATTTCTGAGTCTTTTAATGCTCAAAAAAGTAACTTCATGTATTTGCATAGTCCCACTGACCTGTCATAAATTATGATAATTTCTAATTTCCTTGTGAGTAATCATAGAATTGAAGGACTGGAAGGGACCTGTAAGATCATGAAGTCCAGTCCCCTGCCATGGGCAGGAAGTTACTGGGCTCAAACAAGCTGAACAAGGTGCTTATCTGGCCTCATCTTTAACACGTCCAAGGATGGTGACTGCACCACCTCTGCTGGGAGTGCATTCCAGATTCTGGCAACCCTTATGGAGAAAAAGTTTTTTCTTATGTCCAGCCTAAATTTTCCCTCTGTTAGCTTGTGCCCATTGGTCCTCATCCTCCCTTGAGGTGCCTTCCTGAAGAGTTGTTCCCTTAGATCTTGATGCTCACCACTAACATACTTGTAGGCAGCTATCAAGTCATCTCTCAGTCTTCTCTTATTCAGACTGAACAGGCCCAGTTCCCAGAGTCTCTCCTCATAGGGCTTATTCTCCAGGCCCCTAATCATGTGCGTGGCCCTACTTTGTACCCTCTCAAGCTTATCTACAACCTTCCTGAAGTGTGGTGCCCAGAACTGGACACAGTACTCCAGCTGTGGCCTCACCAACTCCGAACAGAGAGGGAGAAGCACCTCCTTGGATCTACTGGCAACACATCGGCTGATGCATGCCAGGGTTCTACTTGCCCTGCTGGTGACATCACACTGTTGTGGCTCATCTTCTGGTTCATTGCAACCCCCAGGTCCAGTTCAGATGCTGTGCCAGCCAGTGGACCACTACCCATCGTGTAGTTATGTAGTTATGGTGAAGGTTCTTCCTACCAAGGTGAAGAACCCTGCACTTCTCCCTGTTAAACCTCATCTGATTCCATTCACTCATAAAACCAATAAAAACCCATAATGTACAAACCTCTTTTCATTTGCACACTTTTATACCCTGTATCTATCCATGGACACCAAAAACATAGGAACAAAGGCCTAAGAGGTGGCTTGGCCTATCAAGTCCGTTTTCCTGCACTCGAAGTCAACTATGTATCCAAAGAGTCCTAATAAGTGTTTACTCTAATCCCTCATACACAACAGCCACAAAGTACATTATGAAGTCAAAAACATTCTACAATGTGCAACAGGTAAAGTGGAGAAAAGAGCACTACCAACACTGAAATGGCAAAGAAGGAAACTGGTTAACATATGTCTTGATATGATCTTTTCTGTACCTCACACTACAGAAAAGCAAAACACCCCACAATCCTTACCAATCTGACCTTAATTAAAATTTCTTTCCTGATTTCAGATCTAGTGACCAGTTTGATCATGAATAGGAAAGCAAGACCCTCTAAAGCCAGGCGCTGACATTTTTTCACTTATATGTGCAAATACCAGCAGACCCCAGGCAAAATTCCCACCTTTACCTGTGTCCAGTATCTAGAGCTTCAAAGTTTAAAAACCTTCAGAAGCCTATATATTATATTCAGAAGCCTATATTAATGAAGAAAAGAAATTCACAAGACTATCAATTTAGATTCACTGAGATATAAATAATTTAAATAACTAAATATCCAAGTTTACATAAGTAGTTGCATGGACTCAAAAGAACACTTGTGTAAATAAAATTATTCAGGTGCATGTTTGCAGAATTAGACCCTCAGTTATGACAAATAGTTAAAAATATCTGAAAGGTTTTTCTTTGTTTTTACTAATTCATTGTATCTGTTACTTATGTTTCAACAAAGGAAGCTTTTTGTTGAAGCATATGTGTGTTGAGACAAACTTTTTTTTTATTATTACCAGAGTATATGGATGGCTCGGCATACTAGGGTCATTATCTTCATACATATCTTCAGATGGCGACTTATTCTATGTATTTGTATAAATTATTTAAAAAGGAAATTAGAAACGTGTAAACTTTAGCATATGTTCCTTTTAAGCACATTTGCATTTGGTCCTGCTGGAGCAAAATGTCAGTTGAATAGGACCCTTTGGAATCAAAAATCTTTCCATGATAAAAACAACAAAAGTACAAACAAATTGGTTTGTACTTTTAAAAGAAAGAAATTGATCAATTGTAAAAGACCCATCAGAAAGCAACTTTTGCTTTCCAAAAGGTTTCTCACTTGGAATTCTGTAATTCTCAAACACTTCATACTTATTCATAACCAATAAGGACTTCAATATTATTCCATAAGTCAGTGGTTCTTAATTTTTTTAAGTCAGTGCACACCTCCATAACTTTTCTGAAGTTGGTGACACCCCAACCACTGAGAACCACTGGCATACTGCCTTAGCTTACCAAGTAATTCCTTATTCAATAAGGAGTTTACTGGACTCTTTGGCTAGAGACAGAAATTACACATCAACCAGTATAAGTGATGGGAAACTGGTTCAGATGTGTAACAAAACAGAAGTTCAGTGTACATAGACCGCTTTCAAAATGGCCAAAACCAATTTAAGATATACCTGGATGGATGTAGTAATCAGACTTAACTGATTTAGGTTCAATCAGTGTACTGAACTTCTGTCCCAGACTCCCTCCAGATTTAAGTTAATTTACAGTCCCCAAACATCCCAGGATGCTTTGCACCTTCCCTGAAAACCCCACCTTGTAGGGTGGGTGGATTAGCTTTGGCCCAAGCTGTCTGTTTCAGCCAAGCAGGGAGGGATTCTCTAGCCCCCCACCCTCCCCCACCAAGCTTCTGGCCTGGGCCACTGCAGGCATGTGGCTACATTTTTGGAATCAAAAGTTTATGTCTGTTTATTTGCTTCTTGGTTCAGTCTATGCAGCTCAGACTAACCTGCAAAGATTGAATCAATTCAACCTCAGGCTTTTTAACTGTCTGTACTTAGTCTTTAACATTTTCCTTTTCTCACAACAGAAGAAGAGAGCAGACACTGCAAGTATTGGCTCCCATCCATGCTCATGTTTAAAGAAAACAAAAGCCTATCATCTCCCCTGAAGACAGGTTTGATTCTTTTGTCACTTACAAAATAAATTCTTAATTAGTTGCAGTGGAATTATCCTGATTCACACCACATCAACAGAATAGGAGTGACATCTAGACAGCAAAATAAAGTGTAATTTTGCTTTTTTTTCTCTTTTTGAGAAACTCCCAATGGATATGAATGAGATTGCTGAGAGTGGAATATTAAATTAATTCAAATTGACCTGATTTGTCCTCACTTATGTAACATATTTTTATCTCTTGAATTTACAGAAAGTAAGAGATTGTGAGCTTTTTACAAAGGCATACTGTGTCTGAGTGGGAACATGGCTGGTCAAATAAATACCATTTTGGTGGGGGGTTTGGTTTGGCTTGGTTTTATTTTACACAGGCATAAAAATACCATGTGCTCTGCTGGCATATTAGTGAATTCTCTTGTCCTTATGGTAGTGGTTCTCAAACAAGGTGTTCGCACGATGGGCTATGGCCAGATGGAACCTCACTGTGTACCTCACACATCTTTGTTTACGTGAGATGCCGTGTTGCTCAGACCTGGAGGGACTGTGGTGAGAGTTGGGAAAGCCACTTCCCAATCTGGCTTTGTGGAAACTCATAGTACTACTCCACTTGCTGAAAGTTTCTCATGTTACCCCAGTTGAGAACCACTTCCAGAGGTGATGAAGCCAGTGACATGCTAATGACGTAACCCTTTATGTCGAGCTGAAGAGAAACCCTTTATGTCCTTTTCAGCAAAGATAGCATTATCTCCCAACTATCTGAAAGGAATGAAGGAAACTAGAATGTCAGTTAAGAAGATTTGGCTTAAGCTGATCTCTTAAGAAGTATGGAAGTCAATAAAA